CGAATATTTTAGAACATGTGTAGCAATAACTTTAGTTTAGTAAACTTCTAAGAAAACAGAACAGAGGTCTTCGAAACGCGGTCTCGATTACTTTAAACGTAAGACAACGTACTAAGTCCTCTGACATGTTTTACAGCTATGTTTTATTATGTTGTATATTACGAGTCCCATGTAACAGGAGTGAGCAACCATTAAAAAAACAATATTGCTTCCAATTAGAACGTTATTGCAAACAGCAATACCTTTTTTGTTTAAAAAAAAATCGCCCCACACTAGGATTTTCTCCTGTGTCGTGGGTGCGTTTACAAACATACAATTTCACATACACATGAGACCCAGACCCGGAACAACAATTTGTGAATAAATGAAGAACCGTTACTTACATATATTTAAACATGAACAAGACAACGCAAGTAGTATCCACAACATAGTTAACTTTACAATACAATAAGTAATAATAATAAACTATACAATACTATAAACATTTTACTTAGAGTATTTCAGATCATTCCAGTTATAACTAAACCACTAACTAATAATATAATAATGTAATCAAATCATTAATTACGTTTTACAGTTTACTCACGTAACTAGACGAGGTGACTCGATTAGTTTCGAGCCACGGTTGGGACTCATACTCAAGCTTCGCTGAGCGTCACTGAGTAAGCTGTAAAATATAATTCATGTCTCGCGAGAATTACAATCAAATAACTATAATGATAACAATATTGTAATAGGTAATTGTCATATATGTTATAATATCTCTCAAGAGTAGTTACGTCTCGTTCTAACAGGTAGTGTTGAAAGAGATAGCAGATGAAAAGGAAATGCTTTGTGTGTATTGGTACATTATACTAAGATATTTCCACTCATATAGAATTATATTTAAACACTTTAGTAATTTACCGCACAACCTAAAAGTGTAGCTAAGGTTGTCATTTCTCAAGTTCAAATAAATAAAATAAAAATATTACAAAATTCAATTTTGAAAAATTCCCTATTCAAATACTTTGATAAAAATAAATGCTTTTCAATCACAATCCAATTAAAGAATAAATAAATAAATACAAAACAATTTCGATACACAACCAATAATTTTAAATAATTTACTAATATATTTTTTTTAGTAGTCAACTTTAAATATTTATTCTAATGGCAACTCTGGACAAGATGGCAGAAAAAACGAATAATAAAATTGGCACAAATACATTTATAAGGCACTCTCCATGTACTATACATTAAAATATTAATTTTACAATAGAAACGTGTTTACTAATTAATTATAATAGTAGTAGATATAATAATATCAACTTGTCATAGTGAACCTTACTTAATATATCAATTCCTTTAGATATGTCTGTCTTAAGAACAATTTTATGTCTAGATAGACTGTCAACACCAGAAGAACATAGTGTTTTTATATAGGGCAAGTCCATGTACTCAAGCACTGTATCCATTTTCTGTAAGATATGATCTACAGTAAGGACCATAAAACACAGTCGAATTGAGTACCTCCTCCTTTCTTGAAGTTGGTTAAAAAGTCACCGAAACTATGAAGCCACGATTTTACATTTTTATGTAAATCTTTTTATTTTAATGGCAGTATTTTGTTAACTGGTAACACTACGAGCACAAATATACACACGTCGAACACACCAATATAATAAACCCCTAGACAGTCAATCAGTCCGTCAGTCGTTCTTGTTTTACTTAAATAATGCGTCAGTTAATCAAGACATAAAATTGACCAAATATAATCCTTATTTCATTAACTATAGCTTCTCAATTCGTATAGCACGTGTCTCTTAAACTAGTACAAAATAATATGATAAGTACCTATGAAACTTGGCTTTGATAATTGGCAACTTCATAGATAACATATAAAAAGTAATATTAGTACAATTTATATTTATGTTATTGTAAATATCTATAGCAATATTTTATGAGAACATTATTATAAAAATGCTATTTGTTTTGGAACAAAATATAGTCTAAATAAGTTTATTTTTGTTCATATTGAACAAGTTATTATTGCTTGACAATGATATAACATTACGCCTGTTTGTGAAAGGGATTGTCATAGTCGTTATAGTAGTAATTATAGTAGTATTAAATTGACATTGACTAAATAAGCATCTGTTCAAATGCATAAGTACATTGCTTCTCTTAAAAGGTGTATAAATGATAGTCTTGTCTTGAAAGGAAAATAAGAACTACATACTTTTAGTCATAGTCAGATAGTATTGATCTAAATAGAATACTCAGCAACAATGGGGCTACTCTTTTATGCTCACCAGATGGCGCTAACATAGTTAATAAGATGATTCAATACAACATTAAAATTGAGAGCTACAATATCTTGGCTAATATCATCGGACATTTAATTTTGGACAGTTATAATGACCTCATACATACATCAGCGCCATTTGAAGACCAAAAAGCAGTAGTCCTGGATTGTGTAGAAGCGTACCTTTAGTCCTCCACGTCCCTCAGACGTCGGGTTCCACAAACCCAGGTCTAGCAGTAGTCCTCCTCTTGCGCAGAGTGCCGAGTATGGCGAGCATCTCCTTCACTGCCTCGGGCTGTTCCTCTTTGGCCTTCTTCTCTGTGAACTTCTGGTCGGTGGACTTCAGGTGGAACTTACCACCCTTGATCTGATCTACTATTGCATCTATTGCACCACCTGGAAGTCATTTGTAGTTGTTGTTAGTTTGTAGTTATATCAAGGTCTTAGAAATTGAATTTACGAAGCCAATACATATTTCATTTAAAATGGTCAATTGGTCAAGATCCATGCATGGTATGATGAAAAAATATAAGAGACAAAGCACAATTTTGAATATCGCAAGATGGGAAATGGGTTAACTAAAAATCGCTGTGTACTACTAGCTCCGAGCCTCTGTGAAACTAGTCGAGCTTTTCTCAGTATACTCACGTGAGTATCCGGCGATTTTTAGTTAATTTAGTATGTCTCACGATAGTTATTATAAAAACATGGGAAGGTGGTGTTTAAAATTAGTCTAATATGCAACCGATTGTCCGTAAATCTACCGACCTGTTTTCATAATTAAAACTTTGTTAGGATGAACCTTATACAGCGGACCTCTATGCCAGTTAACATAATAAGGATAAATTAGTCTAAAAACAATTATTCGGCACATTTACACAAGACAGGACATTTTAATAAGTACAGTGGTACTAACCACAGTCAGCGCCATTCTGCTTGCTCTTCCTGAGCGTCCCACTTTTGTTGGCCAACATCTGCGCCATGTCGTCCGCGCCCGACGCCTCGAATGCCACCGGCGCTGGAGGAGGAGGGGGTGGTGGCGGGGGAGGGGGAG